TTAAACGATTCCATTGATGGATCACTTTTTGTGGATGATTTTAACATTTCTTGTCGTGGGAAAAATATGCATACTATTGAACGGCAATTGCAGTTGTGTTTAAATAAAATAAATAAATGGTGTCTTGAAAACGGTTTTAAATTCTCCAAATCCAAAACTAATTGTCTACACTTTTGTAGAAAATATAAACCGCATAAAGATCCAGAACTATCTTTAAATGGCACTCCCATCAAAGTTGTGAAGGAGGCCAAATTCTTGGGTCTAATCTTCGACTCCCATTTAACTTTTTTGCCACATATTAAATCACTGAAAGCCAAATGCCTGAAGGCACTCGATTTGTTGAAAGTTGTTTCAAACTCAAAGTGGGGAGGGGATCATGCTACCCTCCTCCACCTCTATCGATCATTGGTCCGCTCGAAACTCGATTATGGCTCCATCGTATATGGTGGAGCCTGCAAAAGCAGCCTAAAACTACTGGATTCTGTCCATCACCAAGGCCTAAGACTTTGTCTTGGGTCTTTTAGAACCTCTCCTATTGACAGTCTTTACGTCGAGGCAGATGAACCTTCTCTTAACCAACGCCGTATAAAATTATCTTTACAATATGTTACGAAATTATATTCTAACGAGACTAATCCTGCATTTCACTGTGTCTTTCATCCCTTTATGAGGATTTGTATTACAAAAACCTTCTCTTGTTCCGCCTCTTGGGCTCAGAATTAAGCCATTTATTGCTGCTTCCGGCATTGAGCTGGAAAATATAGCTCCTTCCGTCTTCTTTCTTCTCCTCCTTGGCAATTGGTTAGGCCACAAGTTGACCTAACATTAACAGCATTTAAAAAGCAGAAACTAATGAATTACAATATAAACAAGAATATCATCAATTAAAAAGTAAATATAATACATATAAATCCTTATTTACAGATGGATCCAAGGATGGTGGCGCGGTGTCATGTGCCACTGTCATTGGATCCAGAACCATCTCTTCTCGTTTACCAGATAACAGCTCTATTTTTTACAGCAGAAGCAAACGCCATATTAACAGCCTTAAAATATATTAAAACACACCCTAAATATCAACAATATATCATCTTTTCTGACTCACTTTCTTGCCTTCAGGCTATTAAAATATTTCTTGTAAACATCCACTTTTATTAGAAATTATTGAATTATATAATGAGCTTGCAACAGGCCAATGCGACATCGTCTTTTGTTGGTTACCCAGCCACGTTGGCATTTCTGGGAATACAATGGCCGATCTTGCTGCTAAGGCAGCACTCAACAAATCTGTGACACCTTCTTATTCCTTACTCTGATTACAAAGCCAGCATTAGAACATACATCCGCGATCTAATGCAGAAGAAGTCAGGACACCCAAGTAGGTATTAATAAATTACATGCAATAAAACCCTACATTGGTTATACCTACTTGGGTTGTCAGTCCAGATTTGAAGAGGTCATTATGCGACGATGTCGCATTGGCCATACCAGATATACTCATGAATATTTATTGAACGGCGAAGATCCTCCGTTTTGTATCCCTTGTGATGAAAGGATCACAGTCAAGCATGTCTTGCTTGACTGCATCGAATATTCCATCACAAGGGATATCTATTTCACATCAAAACACTGAAGGATCTTTTTAATAATGTCAATTCTCGTTTAATTCTTGCATTTTTAAAAAAACTAGATTTGTTGACTGATTTGTAAATAGGTATATATTTTATTATTGGTAGTTTAGATTAGAAACTGAGATTGTTAGTGGCTGTACCCTCAAAGGGGGTTGACGTAGCGTAAAATTATTGTCCTCCTGAGGGGGTACGTAAGTCCCAAAACTTTCAAAGTCAATTTAAGTGTACCTGCTTTTTTAATCGTAGAATATGTGTGTTTTTAATTTATGGCTAGATTTCTCTTCTGTCGTCAATGGCTGAAGGGATGGTGTAAATCCAGCTAGGGTCCATGCAGGTAGCAAAGGCACTGTAAGTCCCCATGGTCCCTAGTATGGTGATCTACCTTCAGTTGTTGGCGATCTATAGTCCATTTTTACATTGTATTGTCTTCTTTAATTGGAATGTTTTAGCTTTTTTCGCTAGTTTTATATTGATAGCTGTGATTATCTAGTATTTTTACTGTCCTTCGTTGACAGGGTTTTATATATTATATGTCTGTATTACAAATTTAGAACTCGTTTTAGTCACGATATGGCTGAAATATTGCCGATGTGACTTTAAATCTTAACTCACTCACTCACTCACTCATTAATAAACACCGTAAATATAAACAATTTTTTCCGATTCGCTTTTGTGTCTTCAGGCTATTAAAAATCTTTCTTGTAAACATCCACTTTCATTAGAAATTATTGAATTGTATAATGAGCTTGCTACTGGCCAATGCGACATCGTCTTTTGTAGGTTTCCCCAGCCACGTTGGCATTTTTCGGAATACAATGGCCGATCTTGCCGCCAAGGCAGCACTCAATGCATCTGTGACACCACTTCTTATTCCATAGTCTGATTACAAAGCTAGCTTTAGAACCTACATCTGTGATCTGATGCAAAAGAAGTGGGACACCCAAGTAGGTATTAACAAATTACATGAAATAAAACCCTATATTGGTTACACTTACTTGGGTTGTCAGTCCAGATTTGAAGAGGTCATCATGCGACGATGTCGTATTGGCCATACAAGATGCTCATGTATATCTATTGAAAGGCGAGGATCCTCCGTTTTGTATCCCTTGTGATGAGAGAGTCACTGTCAAGCATATGCTGCTTGACTGTGTTGAATTCTCCATCATAAGGGATAAATATTTCAATATCAAAACAGTAAAGGACCTCTTTCATTATGCTAATTATCATTTAATCATTGATTTTTTAAAAGAGATAGATTTGTTAAATGAATTTTGATATATGTTTTGTAAATAGATAAGGTTTTATAAATGGTAGTTTAGATTATCAACTTCGATTGTTAGCGGCTGTATCCTCAAAGGGGGTTGAAGTAGCGTAAAATTATTGTCCTCCTGAGTGGGTACGTAAGTCCCAAAACCTTCAAAGTGAAATTTTCTCGTTCCAAGTTTTTAAACGTAATATTTTTGTTCTTTTAAATTTCGGATAAATTATCCTACAGTCGCCAGCGGCTGAAGGGATGGTGTAAATCCAGCTAGGCTCCATGCAGGTAGCAAAAGTAATGTAAGTCCCCATGGTTCCTAGTTTGGTGATCTACCTTCAGTTGTTGGCGATCTATAGCCCGTGTTTTATATTGTATTGTCTCCTTTAATTGGAATGTTTTAGCTTTGTTCGCTAGTTTTATATTATATCTTTGATTATTCAATTCAATTTCAACCTACCAGGATTTTTAAACGTAGTATTCTTGTTATTTTAAGTTTGGCTAACATTTCTTACAATCGCCAAGAGTTGAAGGGATGGTATAAATCCAGCTTGGGTCCATGCAGGTAGCAAAGGTACTGTAAGTCCCCATGGTCCCTAGTATGTTGATCTACCTTCAGATGTTGGCGATCTATAGCCCGTATTTTATATTATATTGTCCAAATAGTGCTACTTTCCACACTAGTTTTAGTTGTAATTGTGATATTCTAGTTGTTTTACTGTTCTTCGTCGGCGGGGTTTTATAATATACATATCTATCCATTTCAATGTCACATAAGTTCTCGTCACGATATGGCTGAAATATTGCCGATGTGACGTTAAATAATAACTCACTCACTCACTAATTTTGCACTTTTTGAAGCTTACTGAGGAGTTTTGCCGGTATCTTGCAAGCAGACTATTGCAGTATTCTGTACGTGAGTAGTATAGTAGGTGGGAGCAGACGGTCCTTTTGGTGGAGGGAAGGTGGAGGGAAGGTAAGGACATGGATTGGCTGATGTAAGTCACGTGAGCATAGCTGATAGGTAAATATAGACAGCACGTCACAGGTCAGGAAAGTTCAATGAAAGGTGTGGGTGTTTTAAGGCAGTCGTGCAGAAAACTCTTCTGCAGCGAGAAAAACAAAAGCAAAGTGTCCTGAATAGAGCTATGTATAGCATGCTGCCCTGAATAGACAGACATACAGTACCCGTCAGCCAGTTTTGAATTGAGCGCGCTTGACAACTCACGTGACTCCGTCGTTTTAAATAGCCCGCGCTCGACCTGTTTTGATGAATGCGGGGTGTGTGTGTTGAAAGTACATCGTATCACAATAGAGACGGGTTGTGTCAACATGGTTCGGAGATGGAATCTTCGAGTCATGTAAAATGTAGTTGAAAAACATTTCATACAGAACGCGTCCTGTACAAGTATAACACTATCAAAGTAATGGAAAGTTGGTGTAGGTTTATGTTATTTCATGCTAGTTTTTTTTTTCCATCCAAATATAGCTTGATGAGAAATAAATGATTTTGAGCCATGTACACTAATGGATACAGTTTTAGTTTTACTAGACAGCGAGATGTTTGAAAAAAAAGAGGCTAGATAGAGATAGAAGCATATCAATATCATATAGCACACGTATAATACCATGAAAGTCACTTCATTTGGAGAGAAACGAAAGAAAATAGAAATAGGAATCTGCTTATTGAAACAGTTCTGTCGTGCCCTGTTCAGACAGAGAACAGATTTGAGAAATTTAGGACGTGACACCCTCCCACCTCATCATTTCAAAATGCGTAAACTGTGTTGGCTCATATAAAATAAAGATAGTTATACCTCAGTCCAAAAATGAACTCGCAAAATATCAGTGACATTTTGAAAATAACTAAATCCAGCTTCAGTTGTAGATTGCATCACATTTTAAGCAACGTGATCAGACTGAAAACCATAGTTCACAAGGCATACTCAAGGAGGACGACATGCATGACTGAACAGTCAATGCAACAGGCAGGTGTGAAGGAAAAGGTTCAATGTCTTTTCACCGTGTGAGCATACATGGGTGGTCCCTATCCCAACCCGTCAGTCATGTCTACAGCGAGATACACGGGCGCGTTGAATGGATAGTTACTATATGTCAATCATTATTCGTAAAATATCCTTTATAGACATCATCTGCACACCAGAGCCTTATTTTAGTTTCAACAACGAGCGAGACAACATGAACGTTTACTGTATCCAGACTGAACATGGACTCAAGGAACGCGTGAGTGTAGTTCTCAGTATTTCATTTAAATAAATGAGAATACTATACAGCTAACAAATGTTTCTGGTTTGAGTGAAAAAGAAAAGGTATATGTTACTAAAATAATTATGAGTGTGTCTCATTACCAACTTTATGAAGAAAACAATGTTGTATGTATAGTATGAATTGAAATTAATGTTCTGTCTTTCAGACCATTCACCTGTCGAGAGTGTGGGAAAACGTTTTCCCGAAAAGATAACCTTTCCCGACACATGCGTTGCACTCATGAGAGGGAGCAACCACATGTTTGCGATAGGTGCAGTAAATCATTCACAAGACATGAGAAGTTGAAACAACACACATGTGCCCTATCGCAGCGACGACTATCAGAATATCGATGTAGCGTAAGTTTTCATTCTCATTTTATTGTCGCGAATGGAAGGTTAATTTGATTAGATCACTGTATGAACTTGTGCAGGATTTTTATCTTCGTATGCTTTTCAAAAGCTAATTCCGTGAGATTTCATTTTAACACAAATGCTTCATTTTATGTTGAAAACGTGTACGTCATGTTATGTTAATATGAGTGTCGTTACTAAACTCGAACAGTCCCTTTAATAACACTGCTGTATTTCTACATACAGAAATGCCCCGAGGTGTTCCCCTCTCCCCATGACTTGACAGTGCATTTTCGACGGTTTCACTCTAGTGGTAAGTTGAACGTTCCATAATGCCTTCGGTAGTAAATGTATGTAAGACATGATTTATCGCATTGAACACAACACGTTCGTGACTTCGAGCTTATCGTTTCACTTGAACGAAATATGTTCATATAGGTTATAGATTGAACATATCTTCTCTCCACAGACGCATCACAGGCGTCACGTGATGATGCACAGCCGTCTACCTCGAGAGGAGTGTCGATTAGTGAGGGTAAGTTCGTTTTTGTATCTCTCTACCACTTATTCATGTACGATGTTGTCTAGCATTAACGAGGTTCTCATACAAGCAAAGGGTTTCAATGTGTGTGTGTGTGTGCGTGCGTGCGTGCGTGCGTGCGTGCGTGCGTGTGTGTGTGTGTGTGTGTGTGTGTGATGTGTTTGTAGATAGCGTTAACCGAGAACGTTTCCAATAAACTGTTTTGTATTTCAGGGACAAACTACCCCTACACCGTCCACCTCCTCGGGCCAGGCTGCAAGGACGAGAAAGTCTCGTGCTAGTGGAGGTAGATATTGAATCGTATTCTATAAGCTATAAGGGATTTAGCTAGCCCTGAACGATATGTTAATTCAGTTCGTCGTGGTATTCGCATTGAAAGGAAGATATAATGTGATAATCGTGAGTTATACTTGAAGCATAAGACCTGGTAGTGAGTGAGTGAGTGAGTGAGTGAGTGAGTGAATAATGCGATCCTAGTATTCATACATTGAATTTGTTCTCTATCACCAGCTCCCTCGTATTCCTGCGTCGCAGCATCGGATGGTTGTACCTGCCGGGCATGTCATAGGCGTTTCAAGGATCGGTTGTCTCTCTACCGTCATCAGATGATAGAGGGACACCGCGTCCTACCATCACAGTCCGGCAGGAGTAGGGATACTGATGCTGCTGCTGGCAGTGAGCTCCAACCACGCCCATGGGGAGAAGGTCCCGCTCCATGGGTAGACGAGAGCACTGGCGAGGTGGCAGAGCCCGGACTCCTATGACCTGGACGCTCCGTACATCCTCGCACGGGACCAACCCGGGGAGGTGTTTTCTATCTACAACCTCCCCCTTAACAACAACTTTTCGATAGGTGAGTTGATGGAACGTGCTAGGGATATATATCAATCGTTAAATCATAGTTTTAGATTGAATTTAGCGTTCGGTGTCATCCTACGGCACGTGGAGACGGGACGCTATCGATATTTCCATCCTTACGCTGTCGATCCGCTCTTTACTAGTCCTCTCTATATCACCGAATTGGAGGATCTCGAACGGTTATGCCAGAGACTGGAAAGCTTACATGTCATGTCCTTTCTCATGAAACAACGCCCCGATACCAAATGGAAACCTGTTTTGATTACCAATGTGAATTTCTTTATTTACAGAACAAAATTTTCCGCTCGGCCACCCTCCAGTCCCTCTCCCCGAATATATTAAAAATCATAAAGCTATCCTTTCTTTAGATTATAACAAGAAGACTAAACAACTTTATAAGGATCACTTATGCGCTTTCCGGTGTTTGGCATTGCATTGAGATCCTACAAGTCGGGGTGCTTTAGAAAAGCCTACCAAAGCTCTTTACTATCAGTGGGTCGTGTACTGTCGGGACCATCATCTCCAGTCTTTCTATAAGATTGGTCCCGAAGAGTATAAAGGTCTCGACCCAGCTCTCTTACCTCACTTTGAAGCCTGTTTCCGTGTGAATGTGAGCGTGTTCACTCTTGACGTAACAGGGATAGCTCAACCCGTGTATAAATCTAGAGGGGTGTATCAGGACCACATGTACTTAAATCGATTTGAAAATCACCTCTCCCTCATTACCAGTATGAACATCTATTGTAAACGCTACCAGTGTCCCACGTGCGAACGTCTCTTCCGGCGCGTTGATCTGACGCAAAAACACCAACGTCGTTGCACAGGTCAAACGACTTTGCGGTTCCCGGGTGGTTTCCACCACACCCCAAAGACCGTGTTTGACGAGCTGGAAGAGTTTGACTTCGTCGTCGAGGGTAGAGACAGATATTTTCGGTGGTTCATGGTATTCGATTTTGAGTGTTTTTTTAAATCCATGAATACCGGAACCCAAAAACTGAGATGGACACAAGAACACCACCCCATCTCAGTCAGCGTGTGTTCCAATGTGGAAGGGTTTACTTCACCACACTGCATCGTCGATTCCGATCCGGATCGATTGATTGCTGCCATGTTGGCATACATGACGGAAATAGGCAAAGCCGTTAACAAGCTAGCCAAAGAAAAATATAAAGAGGTGTTAGAAAGCTTGCGCGAGTGCATAAAGTCGTTGCCTGTGGAGGACAAACGACTGTTGACGATTATGATGATGATGATGTCAACGTCAGGGAGGGTGACAACCACCCCGCCCTTGGCAAACCTACTCGCACACACTCTACACCCGAAGCTAAGTGGGGAAAGCATGTGAGCGATCTCTGCGGGAAGCTTCACGGGTACTGTTCTCAAGTCCCCGTCCTCGGATTTAATTCAGCTCGTTACGACCTGAATACCATTAAGGAGAAACTACCCAAACATCTCTCTCTCGACGACAAGGAATCTCAGGCTTTCACCGTGAAGAAAAACAATGCTTACTTGTGTCAAAGTAATCAAAGTTTCAAATTTCTTGACGTCACGCAATATCTCTCTCCCGGAACGAGTTATGCTCAGTTTCTGAAAGCATTCGGCATGCAAGAGAAAAAGGGATTTTTCCCATATGAGCATCTCGACACTCCGGAAAAGCTAAACGAGACTCGGCTTCCCCTCTGGGCGAGGCATGGTATTCCAGTCTCAAACAGAAGTCCGTCCTCGACGATGGTGTGAAATCGATTGAGGAGAATTATGCCGACCTCGAGGAAGTTTGGAGACTGGAAGGCATGTCCACGTTTCGAGATTTCCTCGAGTGGTATAACAATCTGGACGTGGGTCCCTTTGTGGAAGCCGTACAAGCCATGCAGCAGTTTTATTTCGAGGACGGTATCGACCTCTTTAAAACCACTATGTCGGTACCCGGTGTGGCCCGACAGAAATTGTTCCGAGAGAGTCAAAAGAAAGGGGTCTCCTTTGCTCTGTTCGATAAACGCAACGAAGACCTCTATCACACCGTAAAGGCTAACGTGGTCGGCGGTCCTTCTATTATATTCACGAGGTACCACAAAGCCAATCAAACGTTGATTAGAGACCATCCCGACAAACGGTGTAAAAGGGTGGTTGGGTATGACGCAAACGCGTTATACTTGTGGGCTATAGATCAGCCCATGCCCACCGGTCCCTTTCGTTCGTAGGAGAGCCGAGAATCGATTCAAGCCGGAACGCAGGGACAGGTACGCGTGCATGTACGACTGGATGGATTGGTTGAGGGAGCAGGAAGGGCGGGACATTCAACACAAGTTAAACTGGGGGCGGGAAAAACGAGTCGGGCCATACTTGGTGGATGGGTTCATTCCCGGCTCCATGACCGTATACGAGTTTCATGGATGCTATTTCCACGGCCACCATTGTCACCTCACGGCGAAAGAGCGTGCTCAGGAAAAATTACGAGAACGATTGGAACAAAAATTAAAGGCAACCAGAGCGCGCGTTGCTTATATCCGTGATCTGGGTTACACGGTCGTAGAAATGTGGGAATGTAACTTTCGCGCCGAATGCAAAACTAATTCCCAGCTCTCATCCTTTATCCGAGGTCGACAACCACCTTTTTCTCAAAAGAAAGGGTGGAAGCAGGTCTCGGAACGGGACATGTTGAACGCTGTGGAAAAGGGGGAACTGTTCGGTATGGTGGAAGTGGACATTCGCGTCCCCGATCACTGGATGCCCGGACAGAACCCTCACGGCACTCATCTCTCCCCGGGGGAGTACTTTCAAGAGATGACTCCCCTGTTCTGCAATGCAGAAGTTCCTTTCGAGGTCCTCGGGGAACACATGCAGGAGTACATCAAGGAGAACGACTTGACTACAAAACCGCGTCGTATGCTCGTTGGCGGGTTAAAGCGCTGAGGAAAATCCTGATCGCCACCCCTCTGTTGCAATAGTATTTACAGCACGGCATGGTGGTCGATCGCATGTACCAAGTCGTCAAGTACACCCCAAACGAGTGTTTTCAGCAGTTTGTTCGGGACGTGTGCTCAGCCAGACGAGAAGCAGACCGAGATCACTCAGCAGCCATTCGCGGGGATACGGCTAAACTTTACGGGCAACTCCGCCGCACGGTTCGGTATTGATCAATAAAGAAAAACATCAGACCGTCTCGTACGTGTGTTGTCAAACGAAGGCCAGCACTCAAGTCAATTTACCTCAATTCAGGAAATTTACGGAACTAGGTGGGGGTTATTTCGAGGTGGAGAAAGCCAAGAAAGTCTTACACCTCGATACGCCCGTGCAGCTAGGGTATTTTATCCTGCAGTACGCCAAACTGCGCATGCTTCAATTTTACTACTATTTCATGGACGTGTACGTGGATCGTAGCGATTTTGAATACATGGAGATGGACACGGACAGCGCTTACATGGGTTTGAGCGCGAAATGTCTGTCCGATGTCATTAAACCCGGCAAACAGTTGGCGTACCAGCACCAGTTAAAGGGGCTCTGTGGTGATAATGACCCGCATGATAACTACCTCACGTGTTGGTTTCAACGCAGTTGCTGTTCTGTCCACGCCCTTCACGACTAACGTACTCCGGGTTTATTCAAACTCGAGTACGAAGGAGAGGAGATGATCGGACTGTGTAGTAAAACGTACTTGGTGTCACAGTCCAGTCTTCAGCAAACTCCAAAGCCAGTGCCGAGCTCGAGCGTACGAACGGCACAACGTTTACTACGCCGAGCTCGCCAACGGCTCGGTCGCATCAAGCCCGTCAATAACAAGGCCCGACGCCTCCGTTCAACCACCCCTATCGTCGGTCATTTGGAACGCTGGGTAAAATTCTCCTGTAAAGGCATCTCAAAACGCACATTGAAAACACCACTAAGAGCGTTTAGAGATGTTCTACGTACGCGAGTACCCGGCGAGGGGTTGAACAGAGGTTTCCGACTCAAGGGGAATATCATGTGTTCCTATCAACAAAAACGTCAGGGGTTGAGTTATCTCTACTGTAAACGTCGAGTGTTGAACGACGGCATTCACACGGCACCTCTCGACCTCGAGCTTTGTCCCTGGTCTGCCCGCGATGGTAGGTTGGATGACACCGACACCTTTTTAGCCCAAGTTTTAGAAAATTTAGCTGAAAATTAAGAAAAGGTCATCCCTCTTGCGTTCCCTCAACTCCAGTAGTGTACATATTGTAGTTATTTATATATATGTATTTATTTTTAGAAGCATATTGTGTTAAACATATCAAGTATTTCTATCAAAAGTATTCTCTTTACCAGCTGTGATATTTTGGTTTCTCAAACCATTTTCCTATAATATTATTATAAATTAAATTAATGTTTGTCAAATGTATATACGTGAATAAATCTATGTTATTCTGGAAAGTGTTCGTTGTCTTGTCTTATGATATGTATGTCTACTTTCTAGAAGTCGTGTATGAAAAAAATAATAATACAGCAATTTACATTCAAGCCATATCCACTGGAACGGAATGTACCGTCTATGATTCCGGTAAAGAATACACTGTGAGAAAATAAGACTAGTTCCCTTTGGTGTAGGTGAATCGAGGCTATGACTAAGTTTCATGGGAACCATTCTGTATGGTCTACTCCCAGTTGTGAGACAGTGGACTAGGTAATTAGCAAAGAAAACACACCTTACTCCCCTATCTGATAGAATGGATTAACCCCAGCTAATTATGGATTAGCTATTAACTGAATCTTGTGGAGGTAACTTAATAAAACTCTAAAAGATAAAGTAATTAACCTACTCAGATAAATGGCTTTAAAAAAATGACTGCTCTTTCGGATCACCATTATGGCAGGCCTTCAACAAGTAGAATATATCGCCAGTTCACGATAAACTATGCCTCCTGCGGGTACTCTTCAGCAACAGGGATGTTCCCATTTTCATCGTAGGGATTGGGAAGCACCACCTGTGTGCACTGAACCATTAATTAATGTGTCTCACAACTGGGAGTTCTCACAAATGGGAGGACACCTTCTGTACCGAGAGCGATGCTTTGTGCTATTATGTTTATTGTTAGTGAATTGGGGTGTACGCAGGATGCTTATTGTAGGCGCCATGGGGACAGACCCTTTAAGAGCGATCTCAGCGTACTGCGTCTCTGCATACAGCAGAGCATTCGCACAAACAACATGAGACTACCATGCTATCTATTCAGTGTTTATTACTTTAACAGCTTGTCATGATGATACATATTCAGACAATATAGGCATTATAATACATTCCAGTGGCAACATGAGACAAACTTTATATCCATTCACGTTTGAAACTAACAACTTGTATAATCACATGAGAGATTCAATACTATTTTAATAAGCAGTTTCCAATGGTTTGAACTTCTTCGCACCGGGAACACCGTGCTTCACTTTGCCACGCACGTACATGGGCTGGGTTCATTTTCCCACCTGAGAGTAAAACGCTTGCGAGTTGGGTAGTTGTGTTAGTTGACGGGTAAAGGCTTGATATCCAACATGTTTTCTATCGCCACTCTTTAGCACAAACTGTCGAATGCAGTCAATCACATTAGAATGTTTTATAGGGTCTCCATGTTCATCCAACCATTAGAGTTTAGCATTCCAGTTAATGCGACCGAGTTCTTTCTGCTGGTTGAGATACTGCCATAGGGACACTAATTTTCCCTTTTTTGCTCGTCCGACTTGACGTGTTGTAACAGTGGTGTTAGGACATCGTGGCTTGCTGTTGCATTTCCTCCTCCTGTTAGCTGGTCGTGTGCTGAGGCTATGATATTGTGTATGGACGCGTCACGCTTCACGTCTGGTTCCTTAGCTGTAGTGTTGACTACTGGAGTCTGCTCCTCCTGGGGGATAGGGGCTGGTGAGGGTTTCAGGATCGGATGGGAGCCGCTTTCCATCTTCGGAGCAGCTTGAATCAGACGTTGGTAGGTCTCGCGAGATAACAGAATCATGGGTTTCGTCATGGTCCGACTGATAAAAATATCGATCCAATGCTCGTACACAAGGTGGTAATATAAAGTGAAAAGAAACCAACAACTCCCTTTTAGCTCGATATCCTCCTTGTTTGCTGTTCAGTAGCCGAATAATCTTCCTGTACCGATACAAGGTCTTTTTCTCGTGATCTGTCACGGAAATGTAACCGATGATGATGTTATGTAACAACGTGATGATCGCCTTAAACTGGGGTTTGGTCAGATGAGATAGTAACGTTTTACGCTGTACAGGCTTAGATTGTCTCAGTACGTGGAGAAAATCCACATTGTCTTCAATACACCGACTCATGGTGTGTAGCGAACCTTTTTGTAAACGTAGCACGTAGGTCCACCGTATAAATTAGGTAGATCCAACCCCGTTCGCCAAGCTTGTCGAAGTGAGTTTACGCACGATTCTTTCGATGAAAACCACGTAGAGCTCTTTTTTAAAACGATCTCTTCAGTCCGAGTAGCTCTTATCGATAAGATAGAGGGTGGTGGGTTACACACGATCTCCCAAAAGTAGACCTTGCTCATAGCACGGTTGCTGTAACACTGACCGAGCTATCCCATGCGGATCGCTTTTATTTAGGAAAATAGACGGTGCAAAGTTCATTGGGTAAGATACCGGTGCGTAAGCGTCCGTATTCGGGTCATTGTATGCGGTGAAGCGTCAACGACTAAGTAACCGTGATTTCCTCCTTCCACGGCATCCTTATAGGATTCGAAAAATACTTGCTTTGACCTGGAAATATTTGCGAGGCTAAAATCTTGTATTCGTGCGCGGAACGGGGATTGCTCATCAAGACGAACATATGCGTATTCACACTGACAGTCCGTGAACAGGGACCTTTAGGGTAGACGGACTGTAGCAGATTGATTACGGTAATGCCCAGATGATGCGATAAGGTGGTGTACACGTTTAACATGAGTTTACTGGTACATATATCCATCATGAGATCGTCTAACACGAGAATCATGTTTTTGTGAGACTGATCGGACCACAAACGTAAATCGTTTTCGTTAGGCAAAGATTCGTGAAACTGAATGTTATCAATAGATTGCTGCATGTCGGCGTACAGATCCTGCCACACCCCGTAACAGTATACAATTAGGTTTGGTGGCTTATCAAACACTGTACTGGTATTCTGTAACAACCGTTTCGTCCAATAGGTTTTCCCGCTACACGTGCCCCCAATCACGGACAAAGTGGTAGGTGTAACGATAGGGAGCAAACATTTCTCGGACATAGTGTTAGCTCACGGAGTGCCTGTCTAAACTGATACATTCTATCACTGGTGTGGGTTATTTATGCAGCTCTCGGTATGAGTGGCTGTTGTTGCTGACGACGCCTAGCCAACCTTTGGAGAGCTCTTTGGGCTTCGTCTCTGACCTGTCTGACATGTTCATACTTGAATATAAACCGAATCAAGGGAGTATGGTTTAACAGGGTTCGCTTAATGCTTCTACCCGTTGTCTCCGCTCGAGCTATACGTCGCAACATCCTCAAATAATTGTTGTGGGGATTAGGCTGCAAGAAACGGCGTTGCTCTCCACGCGTGATTGGTATGCGAGCATTGAGCAGTCGCTTTACAATGGCTTTAGTACCCTTGATTTGTTCGTTATTCATGGCACGAATATCACGCAAAGTTTCTTCGTAATCATTCAGTGAAAGAAGTTGTCTGTAAAACGGGTAATGTCTCAGCACATATCTCGCCATGACTGTCTCGAACGATGTCACACTCGAGAATGAAACTTACTCGTGATACTTCAGTCTTAAATAATCATTCACCCATCCATACATAGCATAAAGAACTGAAACACAATAGACATTTTCTCTGTTTTTTATTTGCTCGTCTACCACTCTACAGGAACAACGATCGTGTTATGTTATGGAACATGTTAAACAGTACTTAAAGTAGTCACAGATAAACTGAGTGACATACGCATCATTGCATGCTTTGTTTGTACTAAACATATGTACGATATCACGTAAAGTAGCGCTATTTCTACATTTCTGTAACGAGTAATATAAACAATAGAATCCACAAGCACTCGAATTAGAGTGTTGTAAAACAGTCGCGTTATATCGAAAACTGCGAGAATGTCTCTTGACAAAGTATTCAAATTCACGATGATAGTAACTCGGTTTCTGTCCGTAACTGTCAAAAAACTCGCCGACTCCACTCCCGTCAAAGTAGAAAGCGACCCAGTGTTGTCCCTCGCCATGAGCTTGGTCCGTGTTAACCACACATCCCCACGGTCTTCCACTGGTAGGTGAAGCGATGCTAGCTATGGTATCTCTCGTATACACACCCACCATGACACTACGGAGGCTGGGATCGCTACGGATGGCACACTGTAACTGTTGTTTGTACATGGACTACTTTAGAAACACGTTCCGGCTTTGGTCGATTTCGATAAGTGCCGGAAACTTGGCCAGAGCGATGACGTTGAAGGTATGGGCGAGCGCCTGAGCAAACTGGACTTCTAGTCTCAGATTACCCGACTTGAGCAGGTTCAGATATTCCGATCTGTCGGCTCCGATGTCTTGCAGGTTGAACACGTACAAGGCATGACCTATGGGAAATTCCGTGCGGTCCAAGTTCAAACCTTTGTCTTTGCGCCATTCGTTATTCCAATCGTACAGGCTAGCGTAAGCCTCGATGTCATCCGACTCAAATGGGCGTCCTGGTACACTGGTACCGTTCAAGTACAGTCCCATGCTTTTAATGATGTCTCCTTGGAAACAGAAGGGATTAGCCGTGTACGATCCGTTCACCCCATTGGACCTCACCAAGGCGACAATCAGTCGACTGGGAACTTCGTCTTGAAACATGGGGTCCCAGTTAAAACTCAGACTGGACGAGGCGACCGAGGCCATCTTGACCACGGATCTTTCGTAGGGGTACATGGCATTACCTTTCTCGAACTGTTTGTTGTGGGCCACGATGAGAGCGTCGTTGATTCTGAGTTTGCATACTTTCAGGTACACATCTTGCAGTTCGACGGTGTAATCCTTATCAGACTCTTCTGACGTCAAGACAAAGGATGTGCTGGAACGAAACAGTTTGAGTCACACGTCCACACCATTCACCAGTTGACGTTGGAAACCGAACACGTCTTCCATGATAGGTCCTGTTAGGGTGAGCGACTTGCTTCCGGCGATAAAACCTCCGCGGTTGATGAGCCCGTCATTCCCAGAGGCGTAGGGGTCCCCGGAGTTGAACTCGTCTACGGTGACACCCGAATCTTTGTAATACAGCTGAGTAGTCAGTTGGCTGGTCTGAGCATCTGTTCCATAGTCGAGAACGGTTTCCATGAGGGCTTTGTAAGGGTAACCGCCATTGCTGGAGCTGACCTGTTGACCCTGTAGGAACACGCTTACCTGACTCCACAAGCTTTGCAGAGTGAGGTTGACGGGCCCTACTTTTTCTTTATCGGCTAATGGTGTTTTGTCGGTATGAGTAACCTTCAGTTTGACGTGAAGTCGAGTCTTGCTCAAGTCGATGTAGTCTTTCCCGCCGTTTGAATGTGAAATTCCACCGGACTGGAATCGGTGATGACAGACAGGGGTCTTACGTTCTCGTAATAGTGTTGCAGGATGCTGGTTTGATAGGGAGGCAGTTCGAATAAATCTAAGCTATTTGGCAGGGCTTCGGTAAACTCTTTCTCCGTCAGTACAGACATGGTTACTGGTTGAAGATGTCTCTGGGGTCGATAGCGGGAGTATCTTTAAACTCGATGAAGGATCGTTTGGAGCTGTTACCTTCACGACGTACTTTCTTCGAAGTGACAATCTTGTCCCCTGCTTTGCGTTTTATAGCCTTGGTTCGCTTCTGAGCTGCCTCGGCTCTCTTGACCACGTTCTGATTAGGCGATGTCATTGTTATGTTCAAGTTCGAGTCGCGACTAGGTGGTACTTTGACTCGGGGTGCGATGGGAATGATACGCGACCTAGGTCGACCTTTGATCAGCTGTTTTCCCCCGTGCTTACTTCTGCGATCTACTAAAAAGTCCACAAACTTCTTGGTGTCGGGAATGTACAGTTTCCGTTCCATCGCGCTTAACTCAGAAAGGGATACCGTCGCAACACGAGTGATACGTTCACGGTCTCTCTCAGAAATGAATGCGAGGTTCCTTCTGCACACTTTATATACACTTCGATTTCCGAGGTGTCTCTCACGATGATGGGTAAGTACCAAGGATAATGAAAATAATAGTTGGGTCCGTCTCTCAGATCGATCCGTCTCAACAAAGGCAGATAATGTTCGCCCACGTGTGAACTATCGCATAGATTACACAACATGTCAATGGAGGTATTATTTGTATCTTTCAACTCCAGTTTGCCTAGTTTCATTTCTAACAGAGCCACCATCCACATGCCTTCTAGTTTCAAATGTTGAGACAGTTTCACGCGGAAACGGTAAGGCGTGTTGTCCGGGAAATACTCCTGTGAGTCTGCACTGTTAAACACGATGTATTTATCCATTTTACTTATTCTTCACTTCGCTTGCTTCTACCCAGGAATCGAAACTCGATGGCCAACCTGCCCACCTGACCAAATAGTACACTTTCCCCTTTGTCTTTCTTTTTCTTTAACACTTTTTCAATATCCCATGCGGCATCTAGATCTTTATCGACACGCTGTAATTCTTCTTCGTAAAAGCGCCCCTTTAAGAGCTCGTCGTGAAAATCTTTCAGTGTGTATAATGAGATGGTTTGTCGGCGATGACACGTTGCTACTTTAAATAATTCTTCCGTCCATCGCAAGTTGTGTTCCTTGGCAAACGGCTTTCTCAAATAACTGATTCTCACGATATCCCCTATTTTATACTTAAATGAACGGGACTTGTGTGCGATGAATGTGGATGGATTCATGTATAAATGTCCCCATACTTTGACTTCGTTTTGTTGGTTCACTTCTGCAGGGGACCACTCGCCTAAACTTCTGTGTACGGTGTGATTGTAATTATATACTAAATCGGCTAGCACACCGATATAGCGCTGTGTGTTCTTGTGTGTTAAATACCTCGCTATGAGCGACCTCAACGTTCGAATGACCCTCTCGGCGTAATTCGCTTTAATGTCTTCGTTCTGAGTGACGAACAGTTTGATGGACTGACGCTCTATAAAATCCTTGAAAACGCCTTTGAATTCTGTACCTTTATCCACTCTGATGGTTTGCGGCTTGCGACCGTGTGACAGAATGTCTTTGAATGCCTGCACGATGGACTCGGGCTTCTTGTTTCTTAAAGGGGCTACCCACAGATAGCGTGACAATATGTCAATGGCTATCAACACATAACGTATACCGTCGTTGGCTTTAGCATAGCGACTCATGTCCATCAGATCGACATCCCACTGTTGATCTATTCTGTTAACGAGTACTCTGAGGCGTTGAAATGTGTGTTTCACCGGCTTATGAAGCGTGTAAGCATCGTGCTTACTCAACTCGGTTTTTACCTTGGATGCGGTAACCTTATTCCCTAGTCTTTTCAAACTTTGTTGAAATTTGGAGGCACCGTAATACGCACCTGGGGACTTAGGGTTAAAGTAATAACCCTCTAAGGCTTTCCGGTGAGACGATGACATGTTTCTATCTCGTGAGGTAATTTCAACTGTAAACCTCGTGTAGACCTACTCTCTTTTATATACACGTCGATGATAACAGACACATGAAATGTACAATACTATCGTTTTATTACATATAAGACAAACATGATTGTACAGGTATTGAAATAACAACATGTAATTTTGAATGATACACAGCAACATACAGTTAGTTCACCGGAATGCTCTTTCTAAATACAACATTTTCCATACACGGTCTTGTATGTCTTTTAACCAGTCAGTTGTTTTAAAGTGAGTGTCCAGATAATCTTTACACCGATACTGATAGATGACATGGGAAGACACGCTGTTTAGGCTCGGATCTTCGTGAATGAGTCGTATCCATTGATCGATCACACGATCGTCATTCACTTCGTCTAAGGCTGTGTCCATGTATTGGTGTATTTTGTGTTGGTCGGACAAGTCCTGACACGTATGGTACTGACTGTCAGTTTGTTCAAACATACATCCAAAACACAGTTGAACGCTGAGACGTTTGATAATTTTGCAGAGTTCCAAGGTATAACATAGCATCAGTAACGACAACATGTAGTCAGTCACTTCAACAGATTCTACTTCGTCTACGATGATAGCCTTCATTTTCTTAGTAATGACTCGTTTTAACTTCTTATCCTCGTTGGGGACTTTCGTCTCGGCATCTTGTATACAGTGTTCCCGATGTTGAAACCATTGAGTTGACTGTCTAACGACTGTTTCGTGGATACGATCGGGTTCGCGTTGCACGTACTTCCAGGTGAAGAAAGTCATTCTTTCACTCGACATTCTATATAGGATGCTAGTTCTCTTTCTCGGCTAGCATGCAGGGATGGGTGCGACTCGTAAGGAAGTCTCATCCCTGAATGATTCGCTATGCGCGGTGTACCTTCTTTTTATATCTGTTATATTTAGAACATCTGCTGCACAGCTATAACATACTCACACATTGAATGCTCTTCAGTCATCCAAAAGATGGATTTCTGCTGCTCATTTGCATGGCTCTAGGATAGGGTACACCTAAATGTTTATTCGATATCTGCTGTCGACACACGTCTGTTGTAGGTGTTGTTCAACTAACTCGTGACGGTTGAGACTTAATTCTCGGATTGGGAAGGAGATATCCGAGAGAGGAACTTAAAAGCGCAGTCCATAAATTCGAGTTTCCTTTGTCTAAAGATAAATTCACGATGCAGGTAATCACTACGATATAAATAATGAAAATTTGAGAGAAAAATACAGTTTCTGGCTTGGCTGTCTTCCTACCGAATAGTCTCCAAGGCTCTCCAGAGCTACTCCTAGTGAGAGGTTGTGCCTCTGCGCGCTCCTCCATTCTAATGGAGCGATCGTTGATGGTTCATCGCTTATATTATAACATTGCCGAGTTCAATGCACTGTTGTCTCAAAGCGTGGTATTGTGGATAATCGATACAATAACATAAACAGTCTATGTCTAAAACATAACTTTCTGTAGTTTATTTGAGTTCACTATAACTTACACATACTTCATGGATTGTATGCTATACAGTCATCCAAGTAGAGCACTGACTTTGAGGAGCTGGTGTCATTCTTCCGGCTTAAGGGCTATGCCTTTACGCGTGGGTTTTAATTCTCGTTCACCATCGGGTAGCCACCACTGCCGTATATCCACGATTTTGTTGGGTGAATTCATGGTGAGGAAAACGTTACAACGCTAGACAGACAGAACAATCTTCCTTGTTTAGGATTTGAGATAACGAGTCTGAGACAGTGTTTTCAATAACCTTCAGCTGCGTCCATTGATCGAGAGATAAACAAATACCTGTTTTGGTGGGATAGAGTATACCTTCAGCACTCCATTCGTATTGACGAAGGTCTATTTTCCAGTCTCCACTCCAACGGGTGGTCTTGATGTAGCGACTACTGCCGATATGAAACATGTTCTCTCGATCGTCTCTCTGTTCTTCTGATGAACCCACTGCTTGCTTTGTGGGATCCTGAGATGGGCTTGTACTGCTCGTTGCCATGACTCTAGGATAGTGTTGTGATCTTCTAGGTAGTAAGCAATAACACTGAGCAAAGTGAAAAGCATTCAGCGTGGTACCGAAGACTTCTATGTTGTAAATGATTCACTATTCGACCGAATCTGTTTCATATATCGCGGGTGTGGTCACGTGACGTAGACGTGTTGAAACTTGTCTGATAGGACTATTCTGACGAATGATTGACATATAATAACTGATCATTCAACGTGCCCGTGTATCTCGCTGTAGACATGACTGACGGGTTGGGATAGGGACCACCCATGTATGCCCACACGGGAAAAGACATTGAACCTTTTCCTTCACAGCCCTCAGTTCATGGTACACACACCTGCCTGTTGCATTGACTGTTCAGTCATGCATGTCGTCCTCCTTGAGTACTGAGTATGCTTTGTGAAACTATGTTTTTCAGTCTGATCACGTTGCTTATAATGTGATGCAATCTACAACTGAATCTGGATTTAGTTATTTTAAAAATGTCACTGATATTTTGCGAGTTCTTTTTTGGACTGAGGTATAACTATCTTTATTTTATATGAGCCAACACAGTTTACGCATTTTGAAATGATGAGGTGGGAGGGTGTCACGTCCTAAATTTCTCAAATCTGTTCTCTGTCTGAGCAGGGCACGCCAGAACTGTTTCAATAAGCAGATTCCTATTTCTATTTTCTTTTGTCTCTCTCCAAATGACATGACTTTCATGGTATTATACGTGTGCTATATGATATTGATATGCTTCTATCCATGTGTATTTCAAGCCTCTTTTTTTCAAACATCTCGCTGTCTAGTAAAACTAAAACTGTATCCATTAGTGTACATGGCTCAAAATCATTTATTTCTCATCAAGCTATATTTGGATGGAAAAAAAAACAAAAACAAACTAGTATGAAATAACATATAAACCTACACCAACTTTCCATTACTTTGATAGTGTTATACTTGTACAGGACGCGTTCTGTATGAAATGTTTTTCAACTACATTTTACATGACTCGAAGATTCCATCTCCGAACAGTGTTGACACAACCCGCCTCTATTGTGATACGATGTACTTTCAACACAC